GGCTGACATTCCCCAAAATTTCATAAGTTCTTTCCTACCCACCTCACACAAGCCCCCGTCCAAGTTTCACCCCCCACGTTTCATGTCTGGTTCGCAATAAAATGTTTGTTTCTGTTCATTACTGTTTCAGTCAGGTTCTTTTGAGGGAGAGTCTGTCTGGAGGGGGGGAAGGGGCTTGGTAATTGGACAGGACAGTGACCTTTAGCAGGGTACAGAGGCGGTGTCAGGTCCAGCATCAGGACACATACACAGTGCAGTCACTGGTTACCCTGGTCAGTCTGGGAGGTGTTTTTCATGTTCTCCATTGAAATAACCAGTCCACCAGTGCGGAGCCTGTCATTCCGGGAGTTTAGAAGCATCATTTGCATCAGAACACTGAACCCGCCCCCCCGCCACAGTCTGCGTCCCCGGTTTAAAATATTCCCGCGAAAACAGCAATACAGACAACGGTGTTCATTAACAAAATCGAAATGATTTTATTTTTTGGGAAGGGGAAGGGGGTGAAGGGGGTATGTAACTGGAGAGGATAGTCAAAATGAACTGGGTAAAGAAACGGGGGCAGGTTCAGCTTTTCTGTCCACAAACTGAAAAGTCACTGGTTGCCCTGCTCACTCAGGAACCTAGCTTTCAAAGCCTCCCGGATGCACAGGGCGTCCCGCTGGGATCTTCTAATGGCCCGGCTGTCTGGCTGGACGTAATCAGCAGCCAGGCTATTTGCCTCTAGCTCCCACCCCGCCATAAAGGTCTCCCCCTTGCTCTCACACAGATTGTGGAGCACACAGCAAGCTGCAATAACGATGGGGATATTGGTTTCACTGAGATCACAGCGAGTGAGTAAGCTTCTCCATCTCCCTTTGAGACGGCCAAAAGCACACTCCACCACCATTCTGCACTTGCTCAGCCGGTAGTTGAACAGTTCTTTTTCTGTGTCCAGGGCGCCAGTATAGGGCTTCATGAGCCAGGGCATTAGCGGGTAGGCTGGGTCCCCGAGGATGACTGTAGGCATCTCCACATCCCCAAGAGTTATTTTGTGGTCTGGGAAGTAAATACCTTCCTGCAGCCGTCTAAACAGACCAGAGTTCCTGAACACGCGAGCGTCATGAACCTTGCCCGGCCATCCGACGTAGATGTTTGTAAACCGTCCCCGATGGTCCACCAGTGCTTGCAGCACCATTGAAAAGTAGCCCTTTCTATTGATGTACTGGCTGGCCTGGTGGTCCGGTCCCAGGATAGGGATGTGAGTCCCATCGATAGCCCCACCGCAGTTTGGGAATCCCATCGCGGCAAAGCCATCTATGATGACCTGCGCGTTTCCCAGGGTCACTACCTTTGGGAGCAGTACCTTCACGATTGCCTTGGCTACTTGCATGACAACAACCCCCACGGTAGATTTGCCCACACCAAAGTGGTTCGCGACTGACCGGTAGCTGTCCGGCGTTGCAAGCTTCCAGAGGGCTATGGCCACTCGCTTCTGGACAGTGAGGGCTGCTCGCATGCGGGTGTCCTTGCGCTTCAGGGCAGGGGACAGCAACTCACAAAGTTCGAGGAAAGTCCCCTTCCGCATGCGAAAGTTTCGCAGCCACTGGGATTCATCCCAGACCTGAAGCACTATACGGTCCCACCAGTCCGTGCTTGTTTCCCGGGCCCAGAATCGCCGTTCAACAAAATCCACATGCCCCATTGCCAACGTGATGTCCTGGGCGCTGGGGCTCGTGGTTTCTGACAGCTCTGTGCCACTCTCCGACTTCAGGCTCTCACGGCGGTGCCGTAGCCTCCTCGCCCGATTTCTCTGCATCTGCCTCAGGGAAAGGTGTATGATAAGCTGCGAGGTGTTGAGAACGGCCACAAGTGCAGCGATGGTCGCAGCGTGATCCATGATCGCAGTGCTGTGGCGTCCGCGCTGTCACTGACCAGAAAAGTGCGCGAACTGATTTCCCGCCGGCGCTTTCATGGAGGGAGGGAGGGCGTTAGTGACGGACGGATGACGACAAATTTTTTTTACCCAGAAGGCATTGGCGGCTCGACCCAGAATTCCGATGGGCAGCGGGGACTGCGGGAACTGTGGGATAGCTGCCCACAGTGCACTGCTTCCAATATCGACGCTCGCCCCGTTAGTGTGGACTCACAAAGTCGAATTACTGTCCTTAGTGTGTCCTTAGTGTGGACACACACGTTCGACTTTGCAATATCGATTCCACATATTCGATTTAAGTAAAATCGAATTACCCTCGTAGTGTAGACATACCCAGAGGTACTGCAACTCCAGTGACAGGCTCCTCAGTTTGAGTTATGGAAGGTCACCCTTCCTGCTCCCTGGATCATGAGTTTTATGAGGTGGAGGAGATCTTTATGGCTGTTTCAAACCATGTATCTCCTTTCCATTTATTTCTTCGCTAATGTACTGACATTCAGTCAGCCAGGGAAGAAATCCCCTATGTTCTGATATTCTCAGTGAGACACCCAATGCCATTCTAATGAGCCTTATTACCATATGTGAACATTTCAGCGGACCTTGCAGAGTCCGTCTCAGGCAATTTCAAAACACCCCCTGCTCCCCGGGTGCTGCCACAAATACAACATGGTGGGATCTCAGTTACAACAGAAGCTGATTTTCCATCTCAGTAATGGACAGGAGTGTAGCATCCCTCTGGGCTTCCTCCACAGTGACAGAAATATGAAAATTGTGCAGCAATCACCTGAATTCTGGAACACAGCAGGGGGGATCATGGGAGTCTTACTCCTCCACCCACAGTTCCTCCAGCCTCCTGGACCTATCCCATAAACTAGCATGAAAATTGCCTAAAATGACACAAGTCTGGGATTCTTGCCCAAATTGTAGTATGCTGCAATTAGTGCAGCAGAGCCCTGTGTGGGCCTGTGGTTCAAATACAATAGTTTACACCAGTACAAGTGTGATCATGCACACAATTAGTATAAATTACATCCATATATGCTATACCAATTCAGTTTTGGGTATAATCAAGTCCTCCCCTGCCTCGTTCCCCCCTCCCAAATTCATAGATTTTGGAAAACAAGGTGGAATCATGGAAGAGCTGCTGTTATTTTATACCCCCACATAACCCACTTTAAACCCCAGTGTCAAGTTACTCCCTTTGAAAAGAGGCATATAAACATCAGGAATATATACTATTTATATATTCTTATATATATATTTATATATTCAATATATATACTTTGTAAGTCACACCTGTGATCCATCTTACAAACTAGGAAAGGACATCAGTAATTTCTCAGGCGAAGAAAGACAGGTGAGATTATAAATTGAAATGTCACTATCAGATATTTTTAAAAGGTCACAAATATTTGTTCTTGGAGGCAAAAATGTTTTGCAAAACATATTATCAATAGAAAAAATGTTAACTGCTTTTTAAATTAATTTAAATATTTTTATTTAGATTTAAACATTCTACTACAGTGTTTGCAGCTTCCACATTGCAACAGGGTTCTATAGTGCAAAAGAACCAGAAAGAAAAGCTGATTGTCCTTCAGGAGTTGTCTACATGGGGAAACTGATCCTCCCAGAATAGTTCCCCATGTGCATATTCTATTCCAGACTAAAAATCATTTTACTCCCAAAGAATTAGTGGGCTTTATGAGTGCACTAACTAATCTGGAATAAAATTACTTTTATTATGGAATGTGTGTCCACATGGAAACACACAAGGAGTTATTGTGGAATAGCTATTACAGAATAGTTTATTCCACAGTAATCATTATTTGTCAATTTCTCTGTGTAAATAACCTATTAGGCCTTGATTCTGTAATCAGATTGATGTGGGTAATCCCCTGTGCTTGTTTCAGAGTGGTAGCCGTGTTAGTGTGTTGTGTAGTTTGCCAGGGAGCAAGGTTCATTCTGGTAGATCCAATTGCTGCACTGAGACCAAAGGGTTTTCAAAGCCACCTCTCCCCTTAATATCTAATCAGGGGTGAAGGTATGCTTTCGGCCCTGATCCTGAAAGAACTTAATCACATACTTAAATTTATGCACTCTGACAATTCCTGTGACTTCGGTGAGACTGCTTTTAGAGTGTGTAAAGTTAAACCGGCGCATGTCTTTGAAAGATGAAGGTGTTAGTTTATTTTCCTTGTTCAAGGTGAATTAAATGCTAAAAGTAGAGAAACAGCATTAATGTAAAAAATAAATCCCATTTAAAAACCCTCAGTTCTAATTACCTAATGTAATACCGGTAATGAATTGATTTTTAACCTGATTGTCATTTTAAAATAAACAGTTCAGGAATATCTTTTAAATCTCCAGTCCGCTGTTGCATGTAACTCTTCACTTGAGCTCATCAAATCCCATAGTCTATTACGTTTTAAAAAAATTAACCACTCCTAGTTTTCCAAGCAATATAGCACTTGATCTAAACGATCAATATAAACCTAGCTTCATTCATTATACAGGCCTAATAGGCTGATTTCCAGCGATGCCCTAGTATTTGCTGGACCTAATTTCCGGATGCCCTGGCCTGTTTCATTTTCTTTGCTGTGTATAGTTCCTTTCTTTTGTTTGTTAACCTAAAAATAGGCTGATTGTTCTCGAGGAAAAGGCTTGGAAGACATTCTGAAAGTCCCAAACGAATCAAAAGGCTGCATGAATAAACCAGATCTGAAGACTCGATTAGACACATTTATTCATGTTACCCTCTGGAAATTGACTGGCTTGGAGTTGTGTTGTTCCCAGCTGATGAGATATACCCCGTGGGGAGGGGGAGGAGAAAATAGTCAGTCTCTGTAGGCGGAGCTTGAATGTCCCGAGCTGGAGTTCATCTAATGACATTTTCACATCAGACAGCCTCTCACGTTTTTTCCGTTAGCTCATCTTCTCCTTGACCGCATCACAAATAGAATCAATGAAGACGGCGCAGCTCCTTTCTTTATTCCTTGATAGCGCGCGGAGCGGGGTCTTGTGCCTCTCTTTGGCAAAACTCCGGCCAAGACCAGCGGCGAAAGTCAATGCTCTCGAAATTCGTTTGCCTTTAGGAGTTTTGTTTCCTCGTTTTTATTTGTTTGCATGCATTACTAATCATGTGTGAGTCAGAGGAAGGGAGTGAGTTTGCCTACATAATGAAGTTGATAGAAAAAGGCAAGGTAAGGAAAATGGGACCCAGAAACGACTCCTCGGAAGACTGTCTTGGTTAATTCTCCTCCTGTTAGACCCCGGGAAGGCACAGCCTGTGGGTGATGCGGGTATTTCCAGATTAGAGCTCTACTGTGGCTGGCAAATAGATTTCACTGTGCAAAGTCAGGACATATAGGCAGGGCTGGGTTTAGACTCATCAGCCGTAGGTTTTCCTTCGCTCGCTGCAGCATGCAAAGCACAAGGTGTGGGGTAGGATTATTTGCATTCAAAACGCTTCACCTGGTGAATTGTTGCTAAAGCCTGGATTAGCTCAAACTCGAGCGACTGATTTACGTGGGGGGGGGGCTTGAGTGGAACGATCTGTCAGAGCAAAACCAGATCGCGACTCAAGCGTGAAACTGATGGGCTGAAACTCAGTCCCTCGGGCAATAGGTCCGAGTTCTCCTCCCAGCCCGTTAGGCCGTGGACAATGGGAAACCCTCTTAATGGGTAGTCACAATAGGCAACAAGGCTTGCACTAAGTAAGAATTCACGCGATCGGGATGCCTTTCTTCTTCCCCAAGCTTTCTGTGGGCGCTGCATGGTGGCGCCTTACTGGGGCCCAGGGGAGGAGAAAAGACCCTCCAGGGCTGTCGTCTAAACTTGACTCCGTAATTGTTTACACCTATTGAGTAGTGGCGTGAGCCAGTCGGTTGCTGCGGACAGTTAAATGCAGCCGTGCCATTGCTTTGTGTGTGAGAGCGCCTAGCGCCGCCCGGCCAGCTGCTGTCTGGGGCAGTGTCTGCTCCAGCAGCGCTTTCCACTCCTGCTCCTGCTCCTGCTCCGAGCTCGGCTGCTCGCCCTTGGAATCCAGACCCAGGCTTCAGCCCCGCCCAGAACGCCGGCGTGTGAACAGGGCTTCGGCCACTGCGAGGTGACTCCGCGAACTAGGGCTTCCCTGCCCGCTCCGCAGCGCTCACTGGCTGAGGCAGGAGAAGCGGGATTCCCGGGGCTGACTTTCTTTTCCAAACCGAGACCGTGGTGTTGAAACTGCCGTTGATCCGCCCCGACCCCCCAAGAACGGAGAGGTCTGCGAGCCAAGCGTCGGGAGCAGAGGGAGGAGCGGAGCTAGTCCCCAAGAGCTAAAGGGGAATTACAGTAACTGACACAATGGCACAGAGATGGACGAGGCCTGTCAGGCCATCCAGCCCCCCTTGATGGCGCAGGAGTCAGCTAGACTGGGGTAGCCAACCGGTGGCTCTTCAGAAGTTAATATGCAGCTCCTTGTACAGGCACCGACTCCAGGGCTGGAGCTAGGGTGACCAGACAGCAAATGTGAAAAATCAGAACGGGGTAGGGGGTAATAGGAGCCTATATAAGAAAAATACCCCAAAATCAGGACTGTCCCTATAAAATCGGGACATCTGGTCACCCTAGCTGGAGCTATAGGTGCCAACTTTCCAATGTGCTGGGGGTGCTCACTGCTGAACCCTGGCTTTGCCATAGGCCATGTCCCCACTCCACCCCTTCCCAGGCCTTCCCCTGAGCCTGCTATGCCCTCATTCCTCCCCCCCCCAAACCTCCTGCACCCCCATGAAACAGCTAATCAGGAGGTGTGGGGAGGGGGTGGTAGGTGCTGATCAGCAGGGCTGCTGGTGGGCAGGAGGTGCTGGGAGCCGGGGGGGGGAGGGGAAGAGGGAGGCTGCTGTTGTATTACTGTGGCTCTTTGGCAATGTACATTGGTAAATTCTGGCTCCTTCTCAGGCTCAGGTTGGCCACCCCTGAGCTAGACACTTGATTTCACAGGATATCGGTGTAATACATTCTGGATCTTTCAAACCCCAGCAAGCTCAAAAGGCTGATCTATGGTGCATTCTCATTATTGATGTATTCTACTGACGATGCAGTAGGACTGCAAAGATGTACACACATGCTTAACTTTTTAAACATGTGACTAGTCCCATTGAACTCAATGGCATACACTAGGGGGGAAAGGTCTGTTTTTAATGTATGTTATAATTCTAGTGTGGACAAAGCAAGCTGTCCTTTTAATAGGTTGGCTGGATGAGGGTAAACCCTAGGCTCTGCATTAGTGTGCACCTCGTCTAGCTAATGCGTGAAAACTGCAACTTGCCTTGTCTATGCTAAGAGTTTAGCATACATTTTAAAAACACACTTTTTTCCTCATGTAGACATGACCTGTGAGGGCACTCACATGCTTAGAGTTAAACATATGGATAAGCCTTTGCAAGATTGGAGCCTACGTCATTAGTAACACACTAAGTTATTTGGTCTCTGAGGGCTGATTGACCCAGCTACATGCTCAGGGATGTGAAAAATCCACACCCCTGGGTGGATTGTTAAACCAACCTAAATCCCCACATAGACAGCAACAGGTTGAATTCTTCTGTTTAACCTATCTTCTGCCAATCAGGGAAGTGGATTACCTGTGCCAATGGGACAGCCCCTCCCTTTGGCATAGGAAGTGTCTGTGCTGAAGCGCTAGAGTGGCACAGCTACAGTATTAAAACCCAAGGCTACACTTAAATCTGGGCTAGTCAAAATTCTGACATTGGCTTGCTGCTGCATCATTCCCTTTACTGTAGTGTGTGCAGTGTAGAATCCTAGATAGAATTAAAAATGAATGTGGAATTGTCAGGGATGTTCTCATTTCAACGCTTTGGGGGGGAGGGGCACATTGGTGAATTCTGTTAAAGATCTCTGGAAGAAAACTCTGTGCCATAGTAATGGGGAGGGGAGAAGGGAGCTGGGAGTTGGACCTCTTGAATTCTATCTGCCTGTGCCAAATTGTGGCGCTGTGTGCGCTAATGTAGATACAAACAGTGGCAATGTTTTTTAAATGAGGATTTTTATTTTTTTTTAAGGCCACAATTGGTGTGGTAATGCTGTAGTGGAAAGATAGCCATGCATCAGGAAATGATTCAGAACTTGCAGATATGGCTTGGGGGAAATGGCAGTGTCTGCATCTTCTAAAATTTTACAAAACAAAAAACAAACCCCTCCTTATATGTGATAGATGTAATGATAATGCAAGGATATCTCAGTCAGACTTGCTTTCCCCAAAAGCCTATGCCATAGTTTGTGATAGTTTAACAATCTGAACATGCCCAGTACTTTAATCTGCGGAGGGGATGATTTTGGGCACTCTGCCTCTTTCTATTTTTAAGGAGTGATCAACTCTTTGTACATACTCAAAAGTGGTTTTGTTTCAGTCATCTTCATGGCATTGTTTTTTTTTTTTCTCCACTTCTCTTTATAAGCAACTGTAATTTGAAAATGATAGCTGGAATTATAAATGTTTGGGGTGAGTAGGGTGACCAGATATCCCGATTTTATAGAGACAGTCCCGCTATTTGGGGGTTTGTCTTATATAGGCGCCTATTACCTCCCACCCCTGTCCCAATTTTTCACACTTGCTGTCTGGTCACCCTAGGGGTGAGGAAAATTTCCCTGCCTCTGGTGCAGTTTTCTGTTTCTCTGGCCAGTACTATAAGCCCTGCTAAGGGGGATTTGTGCATGGTGCCCTATGGCTCAAAAAGATAATTCTGTTTGCCTGTCACGGATCAGATTGCTCTAAATCAGGGGTAGGCAACCTATGACACGTGTGCCAAAGGCGGCACGCGAGCTGATTTTCAGTGGCACTCACACTGCCCAGGTCCTGGCCACCGGTCCAGGGACTCTGCATTTTAATTTAATTTTAAATGAAGCTTCTTGAACATTTTAAAAACCTTATTTACTTTACATACAACAATAGTTTAGTTATATATTATAGACTTATAGAAAGAGACCTTCTAAAAACGTTAAAATGTATTACTGGCACGTGCAACCTTAAATTAGAGTGAATAAATGAAGACTCGGCACACCACTTCTGAAAGGTTGCCGACCCCTGTTCTAAATGATGTGCATAATAAAAATTGTTTCCAAGGGAAGGAATCACCTCCTACCCTTGAACTGTCCTGTAAGGGTTTTATTTCCATCCCCACCTCCACAAATGATTGTTCTGTGCTGGTAACTGGTGCCAAATTGTTCCATTACATCTATGCAACAACATGTACTTCAGTGGGTAGCACAGGGTTGAGTGTCAGTGTAGAACTTGATGGCTAATTTCACAAAAAGCCATTCTGCATTCCTTATACACCCCAACTCCCACTTGACTTACATGGAGAGTTGGGATTTGTGAAGAATGTAAGATTGGTACCTTTTTCTGCATTCTCTGACCTCTTGATTTACAGGCTTTTCTATGGTAATCATCACAATCTCTGAGTATCTCAATATATGTCTGTAAGGTCGGGAGGCTAAGCATTCTCCTCGTTTTACAGCAAAACTGTGGCATAGGGGAAATGGTTGATCTTCCTCCAGATCTCTTGAGTCCCGGCTCAATGTCTTAACCACAAGACCATCCTTCCTTGCTGTCACCTGTCTCGTCTTCAGTAAACGTAATGTGCTAATGATACTGTATATCAAATCTCCTTTTTGTTACTCTCCATTATATGAAATACCACTTAGCAACAGCGGCATGTGAAAATATTTAATAAAAACCGATCTCCTCCCCTGTCCATTCACAAAATTGTCTCCCATTTATAGATCAGTTTTTTTGTTTCCATTTGGAATGGATCTTGGAATTCACATGGTGGGTTCTCTAATGGCAGTGACATAAATGTTTAACGCCTAGTAATGTAAAAAATATATTAGTGTAATGGCATAACTGATGTCAGTGCAGCTCTGGAAATAGTGTTTAGTGCTGACCCTGCTCCAGTTAATTTTTTCTTGCCTGGCTCTATAAGAGGAGACTATAAATCAATGAGAAATGTAAGTGATATTTTAGTTTATCCATGACTATTTTTAACTGTAGCTTTTTGTTGCTAATATAAGGGGCACAACATATATAACATCTTGGTCAATTCCCCAGGCTCTTTTCTTCACTCCTTTTACTGGAGTTTTTTTCTTTCTTTTATCTGGCTCTCCAGAGAGCCTGTGATTCATAATGAGCAGCTTTAAAAATATTGGT